AGTATAGTTTTGCTAGTATCCTGTGTAAAGTGTAACCACCAGCTTTCAGTATTTCAACCATAATGCAGTCATTTCCTGAAGCTTTGCCATTTTTCANTAGAATCCTAGATCAGTGTTTTTCAACCACTGTGCCGTGGCACACTAGTGTGCCGTGACATAGTGTAAGGTGTGCCGTGGGAAAATTACTTTATATATAGTCAATATAGGCACAGAGTTAAAATTTTTTAACATTTTCTAATGGTGGTGTGCCTCGTGATTTTTTTCATGAAAAAAGTGTGCCTTTGCACAAAAAAGGTTGAAAAACACTGTCCTAGATGACAATCACTTAAATATGAGCCAGAAGTAACTTTGCTAACAGTAAGTTGACACTAAACTGGCAGGAATAGCCAACATCCTAGAAGACAAGCTCAGGATCCAAAACATTTTGACAAACTTGAGCAATGGGCCCTTTCAAACAAAATGAAATTTAATGTGGAGAAAAGCATTCACACTTGGGCAGGAAAAACCAAAGGTACGCTGTAGATTAGGCTAGGCCTGACTCAAAAACAGTAATTGTGAGTGGGAGCTTGGAGTCATTTTGGATGATCGCTTAAACATGAGTTAGCAGTGTGTGGCAGCAGTCAAAAAAGCTAATACAATTCTTGGTTGTATAAACAGAAGCAGAAATGGGAGGGAGGGAGGGGGAGAGAGAGCGAGAGACCCATTTCCCACAGGAAACACCAGGAGCCATAAAACCTGGGTAGGCATGGCTGGGGGGGGGGGTCATGTGGGAGTGCCATTGAATTGGCCCACCCAGGTTTTGTGGTTCCCGGTGTTTTCTGTGGGAAATGGGCCCAAATGGCTCTTTGAGTGTTTAAGGTTGCAGATCCCTGGACCAGAAAATCTCCAAGATCTCTTTCATCTCTATTCTAAATTTGAATTTGAAAATACAAAGGAGTTCATGATTGACTCAATGACTGCACGGTATCCAGGTCTTGTGGCTGCAAAACAAGTCAAAATCATCATCCATTCAGCACTATGCTTGGCAGTTGGCATGAAATGTTTGTGCTGTTGTATTTGGTTTTTGCCAAAATTGGCACTGTGCATTATGGCCAAACATCTCCACTTTGGTCTCATCTGTCCAAAAGACAGCATTCTAGAAGTTTTGTGAATTGTTCAGATGTAAATTTGCAAACTAAGCTGTACTGCCATGTTCTTTATAGAGAGAAGAGGCTTTCTCCTAGAAACCCTTTGAAACAAACCAGTCTTTTTCTAACTACTGTTTAACTTTTAACATTTAACATACTAACTGAGGCATGCAGAGTCTTAAGGTGTAACACTTTGATTTTTGCAATTTCTCTAAGCATTGCATGGTCTGACCTTGGGTTGAATTTTCTGGGGTATTCACTGGGAAAAACTGGCAATTGTCTTGAATCTTTTCCACACTTGTGAATAGTCTTCCTCAGTGTAGAATGATGCATTTTCAATTCTTTGAATATGATCTTATAACCCTTCCCAGATTGAGGGGCAGCAAGAATTGCTTCTCTAAGGGGCTTTCAGTTGACATCGCAGCGATCTCAGACACAGGGAATGGGTCTCCATGTTCCCTGTGCTGAGTTCTTCCTGTTTGTGGGTTCCGAGAGGAGCCAAAGCCACTCCGTAGCATTGATGAAGCATAAAGGGGCAACCTGTGAGGTCAAGGAAAGTCACAGCTCTCCTGTCTGACCCCAGTGTTAGTTTGTTTTTCCCCCTCTCAGACACCGCAAGAAGAAGAGACAGCCTAAAGATGGCTGCCACAAAACTGGGAAAACTGAAGAACAACTAAGACTGGTGCTGGAGCGAAGTGGTGAACTGTGTTGGAACTGGGGGGGAGGATTTTCTATTTGCTTTAAACTTAACCCCAAGGGACAATTTAGAATTGTCTGCTCAGAACTATGTATTAAAACTGTGTCCAGGCATTCTGAGAAAATACCTGACCGGAAATGGAAGGCGTAGGAGAGAAAAATAATACATTTTGAAATATACAGGAAATTTGGACTCTTAAAATGGGAAGAAGTGGTACTGGGAAGGCATTTTAAAATGCTAGAACCTCTTACCTACAAAATGTATTCTGCTTTTATAATTATTTTACAACTAAAAATAACAATTGACTAGCAATACTGAAATTTAAGTGGAGAGTGCCACCTGCTGACAAAAGGAAAAACTACAAGTTTGGCAATACCTATATGAAGGACATGGGATTATTTTCAGCTACCCCATGACTACTGGAGACCCAAATATGAAAATGAGGAAACTATTTACTTAAAGGGACACTTGAAGGTTATGATAGAACACTGAACTTGCAAAGGGGATGCAAAGATGCTTTTGATAACCTTTGGGACTATTTAAATGGAAGTGAGTGTTTACAGATGGGATATAAAGAATTGGGACTTGTGCACTCCTTGAAGGGAAATTTAAGACTGAATAAATAGTTCTTGGATTGCTGGACAAAAAATGAATCCTTTAAAGCAAAATAAGATACTTAGTGAGAAATGAGTGGAATTTTTGAAGGCGATGGAGTTACTTTTTCAAAATACAAAAGACATCATGGAGAAAGGATTTAAGGAGATTAAAATGGAAAATACCATACAATGGATGATGCATAAAAACCAAGACACTCAGGAAAGGGAAGAGTCAACAGAAGAAATGAAGGAAGAAGAAGATAAAGGGGAGACAACAATGAAAATAACAGGGATTGATGAATTAAACCAGGGGGAAAATATACTGAGAGTTGGAAGATATGTTTGAAAGAGAGACAGGAGTCTGGGTAGAAACTTTAGAAACTGGGCAGTGGAAGAGGGTAGAGGTGGGAAAAGTGCCGAGACTGAACACCCAAGAATTAAATACAGACAGAGATAAAGATTTAAGAGAGAAATTTAGGAAGCAAGTTAAAAAAAAGCATAGTAATTAAAGTATTGAAGCGGGCAAAAGGCAATGAATAGGTGATGTTTCTTTTATTATTTTTATTCTTTTATTATTGTTGTTTGGATTTGCTTTTCCTTTTCTCTCTGTGTCTGTCTGTCTGTCTGTCTGTCTGTCTGTCTCTCTCTCTCTCTTAAAGCATAGCAATTAAATTATGGAAGTGGGCAAGAGACTATGGATGGATGAACTCTCTTTTTTGTTGTTTTGCTTTTCCTTTTCTCTCTCTTTTCTCTTTTTTAGGTACGTGACATGATTAGAAGTTACATAGGATAGAAAGAAAGTCTTTTAATAAAGGGTGATATGATTAAAAGCTAGAATAGGTGATAGAAATAAGAGAAGCAGGAATACTAGTGTATATACCTTTATATAATAAAATGGAAATAATGACAAGAGAAAATATGGAATTGAACAATGATAGATTGCAACCTATTATAAATGTGCATTATTATTAGAAATACATAAGTTGAAGGCATGTAATAATTATGATTAACTTTACTAGTTTTATTTGTATTATAATATATGACATCCAGGTGCTATACTGTTCATGCATTGATTTGATATACCATACTTTCCAGAGTGTAAGACGCACTTTCCCCCCTTAAGAGGGTGGAAATGTCAGTGCATCTTATACACCAAATATAGCCATTTTGGCCACCTGAAATCCCGCCCTGCGCATCCAGTTTTTACTAAAGATGGGGTGCACAGAGAGTTTGGGAGGCCTACAGAGTGCTCCTCGGGGCTGGGGTGCGCAAAAACGGAGGGTTTGGGAGGCCAAAAATGGACCTCTTTTTCTCAAAAATGGGGTATGCAGAGGGTTTTGGAGCCTGCAGAGTACTCCTGGGGGGCAGGGAGGGCAGAAACTATTTTTTTCTTGTTTTCCTCTTCAAAATCTTGGTGTTTTTTATACTCTAGTATGTCTTATAGTCTTATACGATATTTATAAAAAATAATAAAATATATTATACGATATTTATTACGATATATACGATATTTATAAAAAATTAAAAAATAAAAAACTTAAAAGAAAAAAAAAGAGAATTGCTTCTCTAAGATCATTATTGATGTCTTTACTCTTTGGCATTGTGTTAACACAGATCTCAATGCTGGAGACCAGCAAACTCCTAAAAATGTGACTTTTATAGAGGTAGGCACATTTGCCAATGATCAAAGGCACTTGATTAGCAGTACATGGATACTACTTAGCCTCTTCATACCTACGGAAGCAATAAGCACACATGGCTTCTTCATTTTGGCTTTCTTTTAGAAAAAAATAAATGATATGGTGTAATGCAGGGGTGTCAAACTCAATTTCATTGAGAGCCGCATTAGGGTTGTGTTTGATCTTGGGGGGGGCGGGGGGGAATAGCTGGGGTGGAGCCCTCTGCAGCCTTCTGCAGGTCTCTGACAGTGAAAACAGAGCACCCCACAGGGCCCGTTTTTGGCCAGGACGGCCTCCTGCAACCCTCTGACAGTGAAAATGGACTGTGGCCCCCCGAGCCATCCAAAAACGGAGCCTGGGAGGACTGCGCCTGACCCTCCCTAGGTCAGTTTTCACTGCCAGAGGCATTGCGGGCTGGTCCTTCGCTGTTTCCAGGGTGGCCCCATGGACCGGATCTGGCCTGCAGTCTTTGAGTTTGACACCCCTGGTGTAATGTCATGGGTTGTTGTTCATCTGAGGTTGTATTTATCTACTTTTAAGAACTGCTAAAGACCATATGATTTTTACTATGTTTTCATACATAAAACCACAGAACTCAAAGAGAGCAAACTTTCTCTTTCACGTGACTTTATAAGCAGACTTGCAACATTAACGCCACTTTTTAATGTTGTGGTCTCTGGAACTTAAAAGCTGATAACAATGCTTTCTTTAGTAAGGTTTCTTTGGAAAATCTGTATAGTGCATCTCAGAAAAGAAAAAAGACTTGGCTTGATGATATCAAATAAAATTAGAGCATGTTCTTTTTAAAGGAAGCTAAAAAATTGCAATACAAAATGAACCTTAACTGTTTTATTTTAAAAGGAGAATTCTGTTCAGATTGTTTAAAAACAATTAAACTCACTCTTTTCTTTCTCCACTTCCATAACCTGCTTTTTCCATTCATCAAATGTGGGAATATCTCCTGGGTCCTTTGGGGTTATTACAGAAGTAGGGTCAATTTCTCCTGCTTTTCTCTATGCCAGGCAGCAAAACAATAAATAAAAGTTTTATTGATATTAACAAAAGATCAAATGTATACAAGCAATGTGATGACTACCCAAATGATCAGTTTATACTGAACTGATCATTTAAAATATAGACTATCATTAAAAGGCCTAACTATTACTTGGCAAGGTGCTGCTCTGCAGAGCTTCCAGTTCTATTTGGAACAATTATTTGAAAATAGATCATTTTAACAAAAGACTGTTAAATAAATTTCTATCCTATACCAACAAATATTTTATCATTATCCTAAATGAATCCAG